GTTTTCCATACTGTACAACACATGTGGGGAATATGTGTGACTCAAAATAACAAATAAACACTAGTATTTAGTTATACATGTTACTGGACCCACTATGCACCGATATTACAGCTGGTTCTGAGAGAAAAAGGTGACAACTGTGTTGGACAATTAGCCCCAGGAAATGAAAGCGGTCTGATGTGTATCTTATCTTGTATGCTACAACTCCTCTTCAAGCACATGCGAAATGGAAACAGCCAACAATCATCAACATCAACAGCCTCACACGTCAACAAACTGAGGTTTACTTTGGGTCGGACTTAAAAGCAAGTGTAGGAACTCATTCAATAAAAACAATTAGAAAGCTGTCAGAGGCTTGCACAGCTCACCCAGATATGTTATTTTGCTTGAGTCCTCGTTTCCCCTGAATCTCTACAAAGTCAGCCAAAGTCATAGAGCCACAAAGGCCACATTCATAGGAATTACACCAAGTTGAAATAAACTGGAATTTTCCTTTAAGTAAAGCACTTACTTAAAGTCACTGAGTTACTTTGCACCACTGGGTCGGGCCCTGCTGCCAGTGGAACTGTGATGTAAGTCGGCTGAAAAGGAAGCTCTGGATCTAGCTCTGATCAAACTCTGATGTGGTTCGTTTGTGGTGTGAAAGCAAATTAGACAAACTGCAAGATTAGCAGACGTGTGATTTTTTGCAGGAGTTAAGCTGAACTACAGTTTAATCTATCTGCTGACAGCGAACCGTCAGTAATCCCCTAAATGACCTCAGACGTGTTTGCACATCAGCATGTCTGCAGGGATTTTCCCAGATACATTAGAAAGTGAAATGGTGTTAAAACGGTGGTGTGTTATGTATTTTTGCAGTTGTGCATTAAAAGTAAGTGATACTATAACTATCTACTTTTAATATTAGGGTCCAAGACGTTTGGGCTGTTTTGTCCTATTTCTACCTACCTCAATATGAATGACAGATGAGATCCAGTCTCAACTAATAATGCTCATAATCAAGTATATATTTGTGAGCTGAGTCAGTAAAATGCAGTATGACCTGCTGTCAGTCACAGGAGTTTAATTTCTTCTTGTGGTTCCATGTAGAGGAAACGTTAGGAACACTAGTCATTGGGATTACTGTAAATTGGTTTGGCTATGACAACATATTATTTTTTTCTTTTTATGTTGGGATGGGGCCATATTCACTGTAATGTGATAAATTATTTTAACAAAAAAAGTTCTACATTAAGTACTTTTTACAAGGTATTTTAAGTCCACTGTACAATTAAAAATGACAAAATGAAGTCCCTTAAAATTACTTACCTAGTATAATGATAAATACATTCTCATTCATTCCTTGATTTCTTGACACACGGCTCCACAGTTAAACTAGCCACAATGAACATGAAACATCTGCAACTTCTGGTCAAATTAGCAATAATAAATATCCAGCGTGTTATAATACCATGATCAGTATTGGCAGTAGTTACAAAGTTCAACAGCAACAGTAATTAATGCAATTACATCCTTAAAACCGTATTTGTTCCTTTTGGGGGATACCTCAAAACATATAGCCTTTAATGATAATATTGAAACTTCTTTAAGAATTGTTATAAATGATAATCATTAGACAGTAATCCAATGTGTTTTATTTTATATATATACAAACTATATAAAAGAAGTTATGTACAATTTAAAAAAAAGACATTTGTGCTACCCTATTATTTGATGAAAAAAACATTTTAATAATTTAATACCATTGCTCAGACTGCAGGTTAAAACTGTGATTAGAAATGACTAGAAATGGCTGTGTCTGTGGTCTGTCTTTTAAAGGGGAACTCCATATCGAAGCATGTTTGCAGGGGTTGAGGAGTTTGAACATGAAACAAACAAATAATAGAATCTGGGGGTGTGGAGGACCAGACCTCGGTAGCCTGCTCCTCATCTCTGCCTGAGGTTACATTAGCCGCTGCTAGCATAACACACCTGAATTTCAGACTGACCTGTTGGGAGTTGCATTATGGGTAATGTTGGCCACATGTTTTAAACAAGGAAGAAGAATGTGTGGAATAAAAATGTGGCTGTCCTGTATCAATTTTGAACCTTTTTAAAAAAACAAAAACAACAACCACTTTCCAATATTAAAGGAAGGCAATGCTAAATCCATCAGTGCAGTACTCAAACTAAACTTCACTTCTTGGTTTTATTATTGATGCATTTGCTGATATTTTACATGCACTTCGTTGCAGAATGAGTGGCTTTGGCAATGTGCAATACTTACACTCATTCTTACTTCTCCTTTTGTGATTGGAAGAAAAAAAAAAAAGATAAGGAAGGGCATGTAGGGATACTGTCTCTGCAAGGCTGCAAGGCAGTGGGTGTCACAAGTTTTTCATCCAACATGAGGCCTTATAGCTGACCAGCACAACAGCCAGCCACGCCACTGCCTTCCCTCCCCTCAGTCAGCCAGCCAGCACCCACACCTGCCGGCCAGCCAACCATGCAGTCAGCCAGTTCCCCTAGCAGCCTGTCAGCTCTCCAGCAGAAACCCAGCCAGTCAGCGCTCCCTGCAGCACCTACTGTAACCCCTTCCTGCAGGCCACAGTCAGCTCCTCCTGCCAGGACATCAATCAGGAAGAGGTAGAAGGCACAGCAGCCCACTGCTGGTGGTAAGCACAGACCCCCGGAGGTGACCAGGTCTTCATCCTTCACTCAGGAAATCTCTCCTGATGAGGACGGTCTTGCCACCTCAAAGAAATGCAGATTTGGGGGTGCACAGTAGCTCACCTGGTAGTCCTTGCTGCAGCAGCCCGGGTTGGATTCCAACCTGCGGCCCTTTGTTGCAAGTTGCCCACCCTCTCTCTATCAAAATATAAGAGCAGGCTGGGGAGGGAGCTAAGGTGTATAATTATTTATTTTCAGTTATTCCTTTTTTATAGACGCTATATCTGCACAGTTGGTTGAGCAGACAATATGGTTCACACCCTCCATAATGGTAAAACTGCCTGATCTTATGGATAACTGACATCTCATGAACCTGCCACATTGCTTTTCCAACAAGGATTAAAAAGACACTTAACGTGTGATCGATTCATGCCACAGTTGCATAATGTTGAAATGTGACATACACACAGAGGAGTCAGAGAAGTACACACATTCACGCTCACATTCACAAGTAAAGTTACCTAAGGTAAAAGAGAAAAGAATACTTCTGTAAAAGATGAAGTACTAAAGGACGAAGCACAAAAACCTCAAATGGAATACTTGATGTAGTTATACAGTGGGACCAGATTCAAGGTAATATCACTACTGTATCAAAATCAAAGAGAATGTAAAGCTTTCTCTACTATGTATATCAAGAATAAATATGAAAGGGAACTGAACACTAAAATTACAACAGAAGAATGGCTCAGCATGTTTGAAATAGAACACACCACTACAAATTCAAGGACATGGAGGGATTTGGGATGGAAAAATCTGACCCGCTACTTCAGAACATTTAAAATAAAGAGCAAACAAACTGGTTCTCATCAGCCATGATGGTGGTTATGTGACAGGCAAAGCACTGTCACATAATGATACTTACGTATCTCGGAAATAGAAATGATTTTTTCAATGAGATAATTGGTATAAGACTGAACATAATCTGCTCAAAAAGTATCCAAATCACTCGTTTTACACAAACTCTATTAGACTATTTGGGTTTGTTTTCAGTTTTGAATATAATATGAAA